TTATCGCTATGTCGAGCACTCCGATGAAAATTAGCGCCGGAAAGATAATTTACATATCTTTGCCTACTTTCGGAAATGTAGGCTCTTATAAACAAAATAATATGCGACTGAACATTTTTACAATCTGGTATCGTTCTTTACAGGTTTTAAAGTCATCGTTCGCGTACTTCAATTTCGTCCGGCATACCCTCATGGAGTAATTTAATAATCGTTGTGATTTCGTTATTTAAATATTTAATAATAATCAATAAAAAAAGTAGGCTAATCAATAAAAAAAGATGTGTCGTAAAATCGTTATTTTTCTGGTTTTTTTAATAATAACACATAACACATATTTCATAGATAAATATTAATTTATATAGTATAAGTAATATATATTTATAGACATGTATTACTATCTATTTCATAGATACATGTTACTTTTCAGTTGTTTTAACGAAAAAGAAAAAAATACCTATTGCACGTAGAATACACATACTTTGTTTGTGCATGAGGCTCCCAATCGTACTCTTCATGTTCCAAATCGGTGCACTTATGCCCAGATAGCAGAGAACTGCCAATGGGCGGTATTTCCATACAAATTTCCGATTACTTCGTTTTCTACGAAGGGGCAGAACGTAAATTTGCGGCAGAACAACATAAAAAGCAAATAAAAAAACTTAGATGCAGAGGGAAAGTTTTAGACTCTATAGTATCCAGAGTCATCCATTCGTTATAATTCCCGATGTTCGCTACATTGATGAGTAATAATCGATTTCAAAGTTCTGCAACAGTTGCACGCACGCGATATCATAAGCGCAAGCCCAGCCACTTTGCAATCAATGCTACTCGGTCGTCGTAAACAGTCGTTTTCGAACTGCCCGCAAACATGCATCACGCCGATCAGCCGCGAAATCCGAACTACAAAAGCGACATCGTTTACGTGACGAAACATCTCAAATGGATTTTGAATTCCATCGGGATCTGGCCTGTCATGTTAAAGAGTGTCGGCGAATGTTTCACAAAAATCGTGATCGTACTAAGTAACTTAGTAGTGTTTTTTATCCAAGGGCTGTACGTGCTGCATATCATACTAGAACAACAGGATAATTTTATACGATTGAGGCTCCTAGCCTTTGCTTGGTACTCGCTGGTTTCCTTGATGAAGTATTGGGCTCTGACAATGCGCAAACCGAATATCATGTGCTGTGTCGAACAAATGTATGACGATTGGAAGCAGGTCAGTCGCGACAAGTATATTTGAGGGACTAACAATAAGTGGAAAAGTGATGCAAATGTCATTATATATAGGTATATTTACCAAAAAATGATATATATATATATTCTCCAAAAAATGAGATAGGATATAATATTCTATGTTGTAATGAGTATTTTACATTTATATTGAAATGTCTAAAAATTAAAGACATTTGTTCTATAATCAAATGTGTGAAATGTAAAAATAGCAAAATGGCAGAATAGTGCCAGATATGATGAATATTCTTATAAATCTCCGAGTCATGCTGCCAATTTATAGTACAATAATTTGCTCCTACAGATTCAAATATTTTTCTAAAATCTAACTTCTCCTATAACTCTTCCAAGGTGAAGATTTTACCACTCGTACCACTTTTCCACTGAACCACACATTGACGAGTAATGAATTTTCGTTTCAAGACACTACGGATTTACTTTAGCATTAAGGAGTAATACAAGCAACAACACGGGCAATACAGTGATAAAAGTCAATCATTCGACAGGTGGAACTCCAAAGAGATCGCACGTTGATGCTGAAATACGGGAAAATCGGGCGAGATTTGACGATATACAGTGTCGTGTTCATGTACAGCGCTAGCATGTCCTATGTCGCAGTTATGCAGTACGCAGTAGGATCGCACGTAGATGAAAATAATCGTACGATCAGAGCGCTAGTGTATCCTGCGTACAGTGGCCTTTTCGATGTTCAAAACAGTCCTGTCTACGAGACCGTGTACATCCTTCAATGTATGTGCACGTTCGTGCTCAACACCGTATCATCTGGCACTTGCGGACTGGCTGCGCTTTTCGCAACGCACGCCTGCGGACAGATCGACGTGATCATGTCTCAATTGAACGACCTGGCCGACGAGAGATTCTCCAAGAAGAATTACAACCCGGACACTCGGCTGACGGAAATCGTGCAACATCATATGAAAATTTTAAAGTACAAACGCGAAGGTAAAGTAAACCATTGTCTACTATTGATATAAAGGACATGTCGCGTGCCATTGTAGATTCTCTGCGATTATCGAGACCGTTCTGCAAGAAGCCTGTTTCTTCGAATTCGTTGGCTCCACGTTTGTAATATGCTTGCTCGAATACTATTGTATAACGGTACGTTTGTAATATGCTTGCGTTTTTCTGTCGATTTTCACTGTCGGTTTCTGTGAATTTACGATACCTTCATGTTTCCAGTAGGATTGGGAGCAAAATAACAAGTTCAGTCTGATAACATATTCGATGCTACTATCGTCCTTAACGTTCAACATGTTCTTGTTGTGCTACATTGGCGATCTGTTGATTGAAAAGGTAGCCGTAATGCATGCAAAATTTTTGTCAATCAATCGTTTTCACTACGCATTCTTTAAACTATACAGAGCGCTAACGTTGGAATATCATGCTGCATGATCGACTGGTATCGCTTACCAATTAAAACGTCTCAAGGCCTGATTTTGATCATCGCTATGTCGAACAGTCCGCTGAAAATTACCGCCGGTCGAATAATTTACTTGTCTTTGTCTACCTTCGGAAGCGTAGGTTTACACAAATACCTCATCTGGCAATTTGGCAATTTAAAATTTTCGCACTTGGAGTCTCACCTTGGAGTCTTGCCGTGCTCCGAGTGCAGAAATTTTGAATTTATCAAGGTAATTTCATTTATTGAATATGACTTCATCGTTGCAGGTTTTAAAGACGTCGTTCGCGTATTTAAATTTCGTACGGAGCGCCGTTATATAATGATTGAACGATTGCTCTGCTGTTATTTATATGTTTAATTGTAGAATAATAAATAAAGAAAATATGTTGTGAAAATCAGCATCTTGCTAATTTTATAATGATACGGAATTTCTAACGGCTATACATCAGTATTCCAATCTTTTCTTAACAAAGAAAATGGCATACGTACCACAATGTACTCCGTTCACACTCGAAGATTATAATCGTTCTGTACGCGCTTATGTCCGCGGTAAGAAAGTTTCAGACTCTATAGCACCAATATTCAGTATAATTTCAGACGTATCGCATCAGTCGATTATTGATGAGTAATAATCGATTCGAAGTTCCGTAACAAATGAACGCACGCGATATCATAAGCTCAACAAACTTGCAATCAATACCAGCCGGTCGTCGTAAACAGTCGTTTTCGAGCTGTCAACGAGCATGCACCCGTCCGATCAACCGCGAAATCCAAATTACAAGAAGGATATCGCCTACGTGACCAAGTACCTGAAATGGATTCTAAATTCCATCGGGATTTGGCCGGCCGTGTTGAAGGGCGTCGGCAAATTCTTACCAAAAATCACAATCGGACTGAGTAACCTAGTGGTACTTTTCATCGAAGTGCAGTGCGTGTTACACATGTTGGAAGAGAAAGATTCTTTCTTGAGGATGAGGCTGTTAGGCTTGATCTGTTACACTATGATCTCTCTGCTGAAGTATTCGGCTCTGACCATACGCAAGTCGAAAATTAAATACTGCATCGAACAGATGTATGCGGATTGGAAACAGGTCAGTCGAAGCAATATGTTTGAGGGGCTAAGTGGAAAAGTGAGCGAAGAGGACACGTGCTTGTTATACATTTGTTGAGAAACAGAGAATTACAAGGCGGTGTTGTAATTAGCATTTTATGTCAGAAAATAATGAAATAACGAAATTACAAAATATGTAACATAAAATGAAATAGAAAGTAAATGGTAACAAGTAAAACGATGAAAGCACACTAGATGAATTGAATATGTGCGATAAGCTACAGTACGACAGTCTACTTCTGTACTAGTCTTTTTAATTTAATTTAATTAAGTTCTTTCAAACTAATGATCATTTTTTCACTGAGCCACTCGTTCGATAACAAGCGCCGATATTTCTAGACTTTCGTTTCAAGGAAATGCAAACCTACCAAGAAGAGAAAATAAAAAGAAAAAAAAAATCA